GAGATCAATTTGTCTTTATATTATTTGCAACTAGGAAACATTCGTTCTTAATGACTCTTCTTTGCCATGGTACTTAGCTCAGTGATTCCTAGACTAGTCTTATTTGCTGATCAGTTCAGGCTGACCTCTTGTCCAGCATAATTGTCCAAATTCCATATTAATAGCAATTAAATAGCATTTCTAGGAACTAAAATTCCTATTTATAGGGACTATCAAGAACTTAGTTTAGAGTTCAGAATCAGTTGCTTCAGTGAAGTGTTTGATTCTGGGAAGACAGTTGAGACAGCTGAACTGTTGCTGTGTCTGTGCCTAGACTCTGTTCCTGCCTTTTCAGTGATTTAGAGCTGTTACTTTTTGGTTGTTTTTTGTTGGTTTGTCCTGTGCCCAACATTCATGCAAATCTTACAAGCAGATTGTTAATTTCTTCAACGTATATCTTGTTGAGGCTTTTGGATTTGGGGGGGGGGTTGAGACAGGGTTTCTCTGTGGATTTGGAGGCTGTCCTTGACCAGGCTCGTCTCGAATACACAGAGATCCATCCGCCTCTGCCTCCTGAGTACTGGGATTAAAGGCATGTGCCACTACCAGGCTTTTGGACTTTAATCATAAAATTTTGTGTTAAATTCATAGTTAATTAGGAAACATAATAACTGGGTTGATCTGTGTTTCTAAAGTCTTGTTTTTAGCCAGTCGCTCATATCCCTGGACTTGATTGAAGACTTTCTTGAATTGGCTAGTAGGGAGAAAACAGAAGATAAAGATAAACCTCTTATTTATAAAGGTGAGTTATAAGAATGCCTACTTTATTATACATCCTAAAACACTCATTTGATCATATATAAACATTTTTTAAGGATAAAGGAAACCAAGTTACCCAATGTCTCACAACCCTAACATGCCAAATTAGCCTGGATTTTCTCCTTGTCTTTATTCACAGTCACCTGATTAGTCTGTTTCTATTTCTCATCCTTCCCTTTCAGCCCCTATTTTAAAACAGGACCTTAATGTTTAACTAGGCTGGCCCAAAACTGCATTTTGGGATTACTGCATTGTCTATTTTGGTTGCTTGGTTTGATTTGTTTTGTTCCGTTAAGTTAAATCTTTCTGTGTATACTTGAGGTCTGCAACATGGCATTATGGGATACAAATAGTAAAATGACTACTATAGTAAGTTATATTAATGTATCTCTCATCCTGTTATTCTTTTGTGACAAGATTTGCTAAAATACATTTAACAAAAATCTGTAACATAGTAATAATACATAGTCTTTTATCATTGGCTTCTATCACTTGATGAAGTAATTTCAATGTTAATGTATTTTTGGCAGTTGTTATTAAGTTACACTTTGTGTGTGATCTAATATCTCACTGCCTGCCTAATTCCACATTTTGATCACTCAATCACTGATATTGTGTGTGTTCTTTGGGCTGTTGTAGCTGATGTTTTGATTATTTTGAGTTTTTGTTATTTAAACACTAATTTTTCAAACCTTTTGAATAGAATTGCCAGGCTGTCAAGTAGTAGTTCTATAGGATAGTTCTCTATTAAGCTCATTGAAGAGTCTGGAGATGTAGCTCAGTGATAGTGCATGTGACTTGGGTGTTCAAAGTCCTGAGTTTCAGCTCCAATACCACAAGGAACAAAAATCAGCCTGTTTGTTACCAACACATAGTAGGGAGGCAGACCTTGGGCCTTGAGCTGTGGGCTTAGGCTGTGGGCTGCTTCCCACATTGGTCTGTGTAGTCTATTTGTTTCACTATGCTTTTCAGCTGTCCTATCTACTTTTTCATGGTTCCTGATGTTTTCCTTTTTTTCTCTCTTCAGAATAAAGTTCTTGGTTACTCTGATTTTTTTTCCCCTCATTTTTCTGACAGGGTTTCTCTGTGTAACAGCTCTGGCTGTCTTGAAACTCACTCTGTAGATCAGGATGACCTCAAACTCACAGAGATCCTTCTGCCTCTTTAAAACCTGCTGAGTGCTGGGTTTAAAAGTGTGCCCTGCTGCCTGGCAGTTACTCTGATTCTTAGATTTCAAAGACAGCTTAAATCGTCATTTTTACTCAAAGTCCTTGACTTTGTTTTAGGGAGTTTCTTGGTTTGTTTTGTTTTTGCTTCATCCTCCCAGGTGATGATACATATTATATTTTTCTGATCACTAGTAAAGTTGACCTGTTTTTTGTTTTTGTTTTTAAACATGCTTATCAGTTTATTTCCTTTTTTGTGGTGGGGTTCGAGACAGGGTTTTTCTGTGTAACCCTGGTTATCCTGGAACTGACTCTAGACCAGGCTGGCCTCAAACTCGCAGAGACCCACCTGCCTCTGCCTCCCAAGTGCTGGGATTAAAGGCGTGTGCCACCATTGCCTGGCTTGGTATATTTCTAATTTTGTAAATTATGTTTGGCAGACCTTTGCTTTAGCTACAAAAGTTTTTTTTTTTAAGTGACTATTACTACTACTGCTAGGAGTGGCACTGTGATTGGGTACTTTAGATTTAAAGACTACCTCATTAAGTCATGATAGAGAGCTTGATCAAACATTATAGCCCTAATTGCAAAGTTTGGGATTGGGAATCTAAAGTTTTTTAAGTATCAAAATTTGGAAGACTGAATTTTAATTTAGATTAGCAGATTTTGATTAGGAATTATCTAGCAGTCTGTACATTATATCAAAGTTCAGAGAACTCCAGAATCTTGGAAGTATTAGATACTGACCAATTTGGCAAAGTTCCAGACCAGTGAAGGTAGAGGACAGCTTTGGTTGACATTTCTCAGTTTTTTTCTACCTTTTGTTTTAGCAAGGGTGATGAATTTATTCATGATGAAATTAATTATCCTTTATCTTTCTGTTGAGTGTAGTAACAGAGTACTGTGATTCTGGCACTAGGAAAGCAGAAACAAAAAGGACTGTATGTTCAGTTGGCATTCTAGGATATGGAGCGAGAACCTGTCTCAATACAACACTGAAAAGTGGGGGAGGAGGATATATTTTGTACATAAAGAATAAATAGAACTCATTTATGTTTTCATTCCTTAGGATGTAACCTCAGGGCAATGTACATGCTAGAAAAGAGTGCGCCACTGAGTATTCTCTACAGTAATATAATCCACCTTGTTTTTGTTTTGTTTTTGTATGTGTGCCTGTACACATATGCCTCTGAGTAAATGGATACGAGAGGTCAGCCTCAGGTATCTTCCTCAGTCACTCTTTATCTTATTTTTTAAAACAAGTTCTCTCACTGAATCGAGCTCCCAGTTCCAGCTAGACTGACTGACTAGTGAGCCCTGGGCATCAGGTGCCCACCACCACGCCCCAGGTGCTGGGGATCAGAACTCAGATCCTCCGTGCACAGCAAGCATGGAGCTGTTAACCCATTTTGTTTCTGTTCCTAAATTCAGAGTCTTGAACTCACTCTGTATCTTAGCTTGGCCTTGAAGTTCTGATCCCTCTGCCTTTACTTCCCAAGTAGTGATGGAATTGTGTGCACATAACCTCTACCACATCTGGTTTTATTTCATACTGAGGATCCCGGGCTCCATGCAGGCTGCCATCTGAGCTACATCTCTAATGCTCATTTTGATTTTTGAGAGTGGTTAGTTATAGAATGCTAGCCTGGCCTGGAACTTGAAATTCTCCATCAGCCTTTCTAGTCCTGGGATTGTAGGCATGTACTATTACACCTGGCCTATCATGCACTTAGACTTTCTTATTACATTTATTTAGTGTGTGGGTGTGGGTGTTTGCATATATGAGTGATGTTAAAGAATAATTTGAGGTCAGCTTTCTCTTTCTACCTGGTGGGGCCTGGGATCAAATTCAGGTTAAGTCTTGTGACAAGAACCTTTAGCCATTCAGCCATCTTGCTTTTAAGTGGTGCTCAAAGAAGAAAATCTGCCAATATTAGCAGAGTAACATATTAAATTGCTCTTTTAAATTTTCTTATTCCATTTTCAGGTGAAGGGAAGTGGCTCCGAAATATTGACTATTACCGCTTGGATGGTTCTACTACTGCACAATCAAGGAAGAAGTGGGCTGAAGAATTTAATGATGAAACCAATGTGAGGTATGAAGCTTTTCTGTATATATAGGTGTTTTTAAGTTAGGATCAGTAAAATTAGATGTTTAATATATCCTCTTATCCTTTCATTTTTTAATAAATGATGTAATCAAGGCCCAAACCATGTCAATCACAATCTTCACCCTCATATTTGCTCATGGCATCCTATACATTATAGCCATATGAGTCTTAACTTCTTTCACTTACTAAAATGTATTTGAGCCAGACATGGTAGGTTAGCACATGATTTAATTCCAGCATTTGTGAGGCAGAAGCTGGTGGGTCTTTGTAAGTTCAATGTCAGCCTGGTCTACATAGCAAATTACAGGCCAGCCAGGACAACATTGTGAGATTTTTGTCTCAAAAATGTATTTGTGATTTATGTTTATTTCCTTTTTATGTTTAAATTCTAGGTTATCATAGGGATATATACAGTTTATGTAGCATTACCTTCTCAGGGACATCTGAATTATTTCCAGGTTTTGGAATTAAAGCTATTATGAATATTCTTGTACAAGTGTTGTCATCAGTGGCCTAGGTATGATGCAGTCTGAAGATCATAATTGTTGATTTGTATGCTAATTGTTTTGTGCTTTTATTTTTTTTTAATTTTTTTTTTTTTTGCGGGGGTGAGGGGGAGATGTGGTTTCTTTGTATAACAGCCTTGGCTGTCCTGGAATTGACTTTGTAGATCAGACTGGCTTGCAATTCAGACATCCACTTGCCTCTTATCTCCCCAGTACTGGGATTAAAGGTTTGCACCAGCACCCCTGGCTAATTTAGTGTTTATCTATCTATGAGATTGTCTATTTTCTACAATGACTATGATTTTGTATTCCTTTCAGCAATGTAAGACACTTCGAGGTCTGCATTCTTCTCGGGACTTAGTATTGTCATGTTTTAACAAAATCTAGTTTGTTTGTTCATTCATTCAAGTTGTCCAAAGGCGCGGTACACTATTCTGGAGGAACTGCAATACCAGGTTGATGTGTGGGGTGGACAGAAACTGCTCCTATTAAATCTCTTAGCTCCAACAATCCATGTATCATACTCTCCTTGGCTAGATCATACATAAGACATTAAACTGATAACAGATACTACACTTGATTTTAGCCAAAAGGCCGAGAAACAATCCTCATGTGATTTTTTTTTTTTTTTAACTAGCTTTTCTCCAATCATAAGTGATTGTGTATATTGATAATTTTTTATTTAAATTTTTATTTAAAACAATTTTATACATACTATATCTTGATCATATTCTATCCCCTCCCCCAGCTCCTCTTAATCTTTAAGACACCTTTAATTACAAATTATTGGAGTTTTTAATATTAATAATATAATTAATGTGATAATAATACAGTGTTTTTCTTTGTTGTGGGAAGCTGATTCACTTAAACCACTGTAGATAAAGTGGGCTACATGTATATACCTTTGTAATATTAAAGTCATAATAACTAAGCATTTATTTTACATTTTAATTTTTAGAGGGCGATTATTTATCATTTCCACCAAAGCAGGATCTCTTGGAATTAACCTGGTAGCTGCTAATAGAGTGATTATATTTGATGCTTCTTGGAATCCATCTTATGACATCCAGAGTATATTCAGAGTTTATCGCTTTGGACAAACTAAGCCTGTTTACGTATATAGGTTCTTAGCTCAGGTAGGTTTGTAATTTGCATTCTTTTCATACTAAACAGAACATGTACAGATGAAATGGATAATAATTTATGCATGCACAGCATAGGTCTCTTAGAAAGAGACAGCATTGAGAATATTCTGTAAATAAAGCAGATGTCAAATTAACCTTCAGACAGAAGCCAGACTTAGTGGTGATCCTAGCTCATAGGACATGTAGGCAGGAGGGTGGCAGTTTTAACGGCAGCCTCAGTTACAAAGTAAAGCCCCCGTTTAAAACAAGATCCACGCCACCTCAGAATTCAGATCTTAATAATTCAACAAAATTGAAGATGCATTTCAAGGTCTTTATGTTTGTAGAGTCAAGTTGTCCTTTTAACTGGCACATCTGCTGTAGGAGCAGGTCAGGCATATACTCTCCATCTGCACTCAAATCTGGGTTTCTCTCAATTACAGCCTGGGATTTCCTGGCAGACCTGTACTTACTTGATCTTCCTGAGTGTAGCATGTGACTGTAAACTCTTTCCTGTTCCTTAAAATGTACAGCTTCTTTATATTTTAGTCTATAAGTAAGAAATAGTATATGTCAACATTCTAGTTTATATTGAATTAAAGCTACTGAAGGAAGTTGTAGTTATTGCTTGCTTATTATATATTACCCTAAAATCTGCTTTCTTGCATTCTTATTTCAGTACCAATCTAAATTTGTATTTCATGTACCTTTTATTTTTGATTATCCTGGTATCTGCCTGCTCTTTGGTTTTCACCAAGTATAGAACTATCTCAAGGCAGCACAGAGATTTAGTTTGGTCAGATGATTTAGAATAACTCTTCATAGTCTATTTTTTAAATTTGATGACAGATTAAGATGGTAAGTTTTCTTGCACAGATGAGCTCTGTCATGAGTGGAGGGGCACTGCTGGGGAAAATTTGTGGCAACATATGACCTTGAAAATTTAGCATTTCATATTAACCAATACTAGATTTATCCATAAGTTTCATGTTGACCAAATTTTCCTTATCTGTATAATGTTCCTTTTTGTTTGTTTGTTTTTACAAAGGGAACCATGGAAGATAAGATTTATGATCGACAGGTAACAAAGCAGTCACTATCTTTCCGAGTTGTTGATCAACAGCAGGTTGAACGTCATTTTACCATGAATGAGCTTACTGAACTTTATACTTTTGAGCCAGACTTACTAGATGACCCTAACTCAGAAAAGAAGAAGAAAAGGGATACCCCCATGCTGCCAAAGGTATGTGTATTCAGATTATTAGGTTAACAAACCAAATGTCAACAGGGACCAAGGAAATTATACTACTACAATGAAAGTGAGAGTGCATACTTCACAGCTTTTTCAGAGACTAAGTTTATATTTAATTAGCTTTAATCTATAATTATACATGAAAGGATGCTTGATTACTTCTCCATATAACACAAAGAAGATATTATTTCTGAAAAGCATGCTTTATGCTAAATAACATTCCCACCACCAGAAAGAAGTCTGAGCAGAAACTTGAGTGAAAATCTTTGAGACTGTATTTTTTTTCAAGCTTCAAATTGAGTGCATGTATATTTGTTTATTACTAAGTTAGCTATGTTTTGTCAGTGGCATGGGTATAGTGTAGTTACTCAATAAATGTATTTGTCTCTTAGGCAGTATAGTGTAGTTACTCATAAATGTTGTATTTGTCTCTTAGGCTTGAATTTTCAAGTTCATTTCATTGTGCCAATACTTTGAAAATATGTATTTTGACATTTGCAGTGAAACATTACTTGTTATTTGAACCTGTTTTTATTAAAGATATATCAAAGCTACCTCCTACTATTACAGTAAAATTGTGACCATAGTCCCTGTTATCAATAGGATTTCTTTGTGTAGCCCTGGTTGTCCTGCCTCTGCCTCCCATGTGCTGGGATTAAAGGCCAGCTCCATACAATGTATTTCGATCATGTTTTCTTCCTTCCCCCAACTCCCAGCTCCTCCCCACCTCCCTATCCACCCAACTTTATGTTATTCCTCCCTTTTTTTGTTTTGGCATTTTCCCCCTCCTTTATGGTTTTCATTTTTTGGTTTTTTTATTATTGTTCATTTTTAAGACCATTAAAATTGATGTGTCTTCTTTGTTAATTTTTTTATTAAAGTTACTCATTTATTTTCAAAGAAGAAAACTGATTTCTCTTCATCCCTTTCCTCAACTAGTGTTATCTAAATAGTTATTAAGTAGCATGCCTTTTTATTTAAAAAGTTACTATTTTCCTGAAAGTACTTAATTTTTATTTACCTGATGTGATTATGTGTCTTTCTGCCTTATCACTTTCTCTTTATTGCATAATTTTTGTTCTTGTATTTCTTTTAGTATTTAGTTGTACTTCTCACCTTTCTAATTAGATTTGATGTCTCACACTTATTTTGTTAGACACTTGACTGGTTTGGTTTCTTAATTTTATAGCTCTTTAAAGGCAAGAACTCCATTCTTCGATTGGTCTCTTCCATAGCGAGAAATGTAACACTGGGTACTTTGATCCTTACTGATCTACTGTTGCTGAAAAGTGTGGTTACAGGTGATTGAGTGCTTAGTCTCACTCTGTTAGTCACTCAGGGTAGATTTCTGACAGGAAGATAGTTGATTAATTTTACGTTGTATGTGGTTTTGTTTGGGTCTTTTTGTGCTGCAGGGATTGAACCCAGGACTTTGCACATGCTCCACATGTTCTTTAATGCTAAGCCACAAACCAGCCCTTCATATTATGTCCTTAATCTGCCACATTAGTCAGCTTCATTCATATAGTACATATATTTCCATACATCGACATGTGGGATTCTTAATTGTTACAAATGATCATTTTTTTAAGCTAATTTTGGGATCTTCTAAATCATGTCTCCTAAATGTGTATATTCATCTCTTTTTGGTTCTTTAGGTTTTATGATATAGGGTCTTCCTATATAGCTTAAACTCACCTTGAACTCACTATGTAGCTCAGGCTGTCCTTGAACACCTGGCAGTCCTCTTGCTTTAGTATTCTAAAGGCCGGGATTACAGGTTTTAATTATATATAGTACCCAGCAACTTGAGAAGGAAAGGTTTTCTTTGGCTTATAAGTTTAGTAGTTCACCATCAGGGAAGTCAAGGCAGAGACTGAGATGCAGGAACTGAAACAGACTGTGGAGAAGTGGTGCTTAGTAGCTTGCTCCCCTGGTCTTTTTAGTTTGCTTTCTTACACAGCCATAGACCACTTGCCCAGGAGTGACACCACCCACAGTGGACTGGTCCCTCTCATATAAATCATCAATCAAGAAAATGCCCTACAGACTTGTCTACAGGCCAGTCTAATGGAGAGATTTTCTCTAGTACGGTTCCATGTCCCAGACAATTTCAGCTTGAATCAAGTTGACCAAAACAGCAACAACAAAAAACAACTGGGATACTAACTTCCATTCCACCCTTTGTATAATGTTCTTTATTCATTCATTGGAAGCCTTCACCAAACTTACAAATTGGCCAAAACAATAGAATTGGTGACTGATTCTCACCTATTTGTTTCTTAAATATTAATTTGTCACCTTTGTTAACATCTATGTAAATTTTCTTTGGAAAAATGTTTTTTTTTTCTGTCAATAAACTTATAGATTGCATGCATAGATTCAGTGATAAAGTCTTGGCTAGGACCACATTTCATAATACACCTAAGTAGGTGTTTTGTTCCTTTTAAGTATAGTGTACACAGCCTAAGTTCAGTACCCTTTATTAAGAACAAAAGCCAGTAGAACTGGCCTAGAAGTGTCTCTGCACCTTCCCTTTTCAGCACTGTGCCACTTCTGTCTCTAACTGTGGACTGCATGTTGGTAATTATAGGGAAGACAAAATGGAGATTTAAGCTAAAGTACCCTAAGTGAGACTTTAGGTTGGCTTTCTCCACCCTGACTTTGTGTACAATTTTCTCTTCTAGTGTATAGTCCTTTCAAGCTTTGATACCTCAAAGCATAGCTTACTGAACAGAGATGTTATTGTACAGTTTACTAGCCAGCATATGATAATATAAGGTTTTACATTTGTCATTCCTAACACTAGAGAAGAATAGTCTCCCTTAAAATAAATTGATGTAAAGAATGGGATAGCTAATCAACTTATTTTGGGAACCTCCTCTGAGCTTGTATACATTTACTTTTGAGACATAAGAACCACATGGTGGCACATGAGCCCAATTTTTGCTGGCTTCTAAGAAGCCAAATTTCTAATTGAAATATGAAGTTTAATGCCATTGTCGTTTACTTCTCTGCCTCTTTTATTATAAGTTTAGTCTTTTTTGTTCAATAAAGCAAAGTCTAGTATATTCACACATATGCATTAACTGGTACAAAAGGGCTTATTTTTATCTGAGTAAGACTAGAATACCAGAAGATACAACAACCTTAAGAGGAATTATTTTAGTTTTGCTATTACTTTGTAGGTTATTAAAGTCTCTTATTTGGTGTTTGTTGGGATAGTTGAT